TTGATCTCGGATGGACTCCTCAATCCGAAGATGGGTTCCAAGTTGCACCAGATTCATTTCCTCCTTGTTATGCTTTAACTCACGTTTGCATTCTTTCCATGAAGGAGGCAGCTTGTCTATAATACTAGACACAGATATGGATTCATCCATTGCCATGTTATGCTGTACAAACTGGCCCAGGATCCTCAACAGTTCATTGTATTGTTCCATGACCGGTCGAGAGTCAACCATCTTATAATTGTTAAAGTTACTGACGAGGAACTTCTTGCTCGAAGCGTCCTCGGCCATGTACTTTTCTTCTAGACCGTCCCACAGTAACTTTGCAGATTCAACATTTTGATATACATCAAACAGAGAGTCAGACATACCATTTAGAATATGTCCTCGACAAATGTAGTCATCGTTCTCCCACTTGCACCGCTTCCTCGTCTGCTCCAGTGTTTCGTCATCCATGATCTGCGGCATAGGCGTGCTCAGTACATACACGACCTTCAATGTTGTGAGAAGGAAGTGCATCTTCTTCTGCCATCGACGGAAGTCCTGGCCTTCAAATTTTTCTAACTTCGAGAACTTGCTGCTCAAATCTCTTACGGAATCGCCACACGTCATCTTTGAGTTCTTTAGGAATAACTTTGATCTTTGTTGGATTTATAAATTGAAGAACACTGCGAAGCAGTGTTAAACGAAGAACTCGATAGAATAACGAATCGCGTACGAAACGCTTTCAGATCAAAGTTATTTCGGGGTATACGAAATACTTCAATCGGATAAGACGTTAATTCAGAACAAGCACTCGAGAATCTATCTTTCAACCCATACCACGAGACTCTATTTTATAGAGTCAAAAATCCTTGTGATCGGACATGAACATTCGCGTAGATGTACGTGTATGTTCGCGCAAGAAGAAGGAAGGTGCGAGTTTGAACGAAAGGTCTCCTGCGGTTGAAGGCTTAATTTCGACGTTTATCCATTATGTACGAGTCCTTTACCGTTTAGGACTCCGGCTCTGCCCCTTGGACCCCGCCAGGGGCTGCCGCCCCTTGGACCCCGCCACCCGGGGGCTGCCGCCCCCGGACCCCGCAGTGAATTTATAATATCGTTGAACGAGCGCGCACTCCGCGCCTCCTAACTCGTTTGACAACGTCTATTTAAATTCTTGTCCGATCAAAGTAAATCCAATTACACAAAATAAATTGATGACACTAAAATCACCAACAGGGCATGCACTCCCTCTTTTTTTTTTAGCAAAAATGAGCAAACCTTCTAAATGATAATTAACACATCAATAATAACGTGTAGGAGGTAATGCATAAAAAATGTCTAATTAATATAAAAAAAAATTCTATTGCATTTTCAAAATGGAGTGTGTTACAAAATACAACAGCTCTATTTCACTGCATCTTAAAAAATTAAGCCTATTAGAAATATTTACAATGATTGCCTAACCAACCTAAAAATACTGCATCTAAAGTAAATATAGTAAATCATGATTTAAGTTCTTCTTCATCTAAAAAATGGAAGAAGACATGAATGAAAATATTGGTAACTTGATAATTTTTTGCGATTGCACATCATCACATGTTCCAAAAGTAAGCATTGCTATATGCATTGGTGAAGCTTCTATACACTGGAAAAAGATCATCAACTCTCAACTTCTCAAGTAATTTATATGGCATGAAAAACACATGCACATAAAGAATTTGAGCAAGACTACACTTTGGGCAATGAAGCAGTTGTGCACTTACAAATAATTCTCTAAAACTAACGCATAGTGATAGACAGTGTGAGAAATCAAATATTTGAAATACTGATGATAAGAAGATCATGAAGAGACATGGAGAGGGACAGAGAGGTGCTGCCAAAAATAATAGCAGAAAGTAAATCAAATTATAGTTTATACCACATAAAGTAAATCAAATGAATATAAATCATGCTTTTAATGACTTTTTAACTTTCAGGTGTTGTGAAACCCAAGATTCAAATATTTATCAACAAAAAATATTTAACCTAAAATTGTTAAAAATAAAGATAATAGAAATATTGTTATGAACAAAATGATAGAGATATACCTTGATAAGAACACAAATGAAATATCAAAGTGCAATGGAGAATCAAAAGAGAAGGAATGCAATGAGAGACTAAAGAGAAGGATATCCCATTTCAACATATAGATCCTCTATATATAGGCTTACAAAGGGGAAAACAATGGTCTAACTTTAATGGGGATTATCAAAAGACATGTTACATAATACAGAACATCAAAAGACATTATACATAACACTCCCACTTGGATTTTGGATGTTCACCATTTAGGTAGACTTGAACTTAAGACACTACCTCGTTAAAACCTTGTCAAGAAAAACTCAATGGGACAAAAACTTGGACGAAGGACAAAGATTACAGTGCTTATAATGCTCCCCTGGAAATGGCAAAAGATCCTTGAGTTGACGCATTCCGATACCATTAATCATCTTCCTAAATGTTCTGGTTTGCAATGCCTTTGTGAACAAATCCTCAAAGTTATTGCGTGATTGTATCTGACGAACCTCAATGTCTCCACTTTTCTGAAGCTTATGAGGATAGAAGAATTTTGGTGATATGTGCTTTGTCTTGTCGCTTTTGATGTAGCCACTTTTAATTTGTGTAATACAAGCAGCATTATCTTCATATTGTAATGATGGAGCCTTATTCAAAGATAATCCACAAGTTTCTCGGATGTGATGAACCATTGACATTAACAATATGCATTCTCGACTTGCTTCATATAGCGCCATAATCTCCGAGTGGTTTGAAGACGTTGCAACTAGTGTTTGCTTTACTGATCTCCATTATATTGCAGCAGCACCACAAGTAAAAACATATCCACTTTGTGATTTACCCTTATGTGAGTCCGAAAGATAGCGAGTATCTGCGTAACCAACAACTTGTGATTCTGAACCTTTTGAATAAAACAGGCCCATATCGGTTGTTCCACGAAGATAACGTAATATATGTTTAACACCATTCCAATGTCGTTGTGTTGGTGCTGAGCTATATCTTGCCAACAAATTAACCAAATATGCTATATCAAGTCTTGTACAATTTGCAAGATACATTAGCGCCCCTATAGCACTTAAATAAGGTACCTCCGGACCTAAAAGTTGTTCATTATCTTCTCGAGGACGAAAAGGGTCCTTCTTTACATCCAAGAAACCAAACTTTTTATCATCATCAAGAACAAAAATGCACCTTACACCCCCACATCTAAGACTTTATGCCCAAAACATTCTCCAAAACAAAGTGAGCTACAAATCCTACAAAGATGAAGAGCTATTGATTATTTGGGTTCTAAAAAAATACTCTAAAGTTGCCACAAAAAAGTTTCCTAAGAAAATCCTATGCTTCAAAACGGCTCATTGGCAACAGTAGCAAAAATTGAAAAATAAGCCTAAAAATGAACAATATTTCTAAAAATAAAATATTTCTAAAACCGGTTCTTTTTCAGATTTTAATATCAAGCAAAAGTGATTAAGATAGCATCTAGATAATATAAGGATGACTAGAAGAATTCAAACTTTTTAAGGTCATTTTACCAAGAAAAAGGGCATAAGACTCAAGCAGAATTTATAAAGAAACATTTGTTATCTTTCAGAATAAAGCTCAAGAAAAACAATGAGGTTTGTGGGTCAATTTTAAAAAACAATGCTCTAAATAAGGAGATATGCAACTAAGAATGAAAAAATATTTGGACCCAAAACCTATTGGAAATAAAAGTTTGCCCCAAAATATACTCCCCCAAACAATGACATAAACATGAGAATCTCCCCCCACACTTAAATTATGCATAGTCTGAAATTGTTAAAGTAATTCTGGTCACAGGAGGAAGTATTCTCTGTGAACGATTCTAGTCAACCACACACACACACTTAGATCGTGGTGATAAGCAAAGTGCTAAAACACTCCCTCTGTCACAACCAGTAACACGCAGCAAGAGAAATAAGAACAGTAAAACGACACAGAAATTGTTTACGCAGTTCGGAGCAATTCTCCTACTCTGCGGGGCCCACGTCCGTGTAACAACCCGTTCACTAAATCACTGCAAAGATTACAACTTCAACCACCGTAGGTACCAGTTAGTGGATTGAAATAATCTACTACAGATGACTTAAACACATAACTCTGTTAGTGTTTCTCCCAATGGCATATTACACCAACCTTGATAACTTCTGTTATTGGACGTGCTAATAGCCCTTTCTCCAGCCCTACTTAGTTCACCAGCTGGATGTGGTTTTCTTCAAAACCAAACACGGATCTGCAATATGATCTGCAACCAGGCCACCAACTTCTTGTGCTCACAACAACACCATATATCAGAAAGAACTGAACATGATTCTCTCCTGATCTCCTTTTGCAGCTAGGGTTTTTGGCTCTCTCAATAACTCGCTGGAAGTATTTCTCTCTATACTCGCCTGGTCTCACCAACGTGAGATCGTATCTATATATAGGAACATATGAGAACCCTAGTTGTATCTGCACTTGGACTCTTCAGCAACTGACATTCCTAGACTGCATGGGTCTCTATTTCGGCTTCATCTCTATTTCAGCTTCGTAGGAATTTCTGCTTCATAGGAATCTTCTCCAACTCGTATAGGGAAACACATGCATGACATGGCAGGACTCTACACCCAACAGCATTTCATCCGAAAACAAACATCCCTATTTATTTGTTTTTGTCACAAGGATAAGGCCAACAAAGAATAAACAAAATAAACAAAAGCTCTCCCCCTTAGTAACTAACCCAGAGAACTAACATAGTCCTCGATGCATCCATATGATATGACAATATTAAGAGTAAGCACAGACTTAGCGAGGAGAGAAGGGGAAAGGGGAATGCAAATAAAAAAGTATATGCGGCCTCAATTCATAACTCCCAATCTTTATCATGCTTTTCTTGGACCTAAAAATCTGCAAAAAGAAGGCTAAGACCAAGTTTTAAAGCATTGAAGAACAAAAAATCATATTTCAAATATGCAGGTTTTTTTCCAATTTAGCACATATAAGCCATGAAAAGTGTAGAATTTTCATTTTGATACAATTTGATAATAACTTGTCTTATTGAATATTGAGAGATATGACCATATATATAGGGAATACAAGAGTAATCAAAGTACAAGTAGGAAAGGAAAGAATAATCCTAGTAGGAAAGGAAAAAAGTATCCTAATTTAATTATACTTCCTAATATCCCCCCGCAAGCTGATCAACGGAGACGAGGGGCAGCTTGGAACATAAGTACTCAAAAGGAACTGGCGGAAGCAGTTTGGTAAGAATGTTTGCTAGCTACTCTGAGGAGGAAACATGATGTGGAGTCATAGTGCCTGTCATAACCTCATCTCGTACAAAGTGACAGTCTGTGCCCACATGCTTCATGCGATCATGAAGAACTGGATTTTTGGTGACACAGATAGTCGACTCATTGTCACAGTATAACTTCGGTTTGGACGGAGGAATACCCAGTGCATCAGTGATATATCGAAGCCACATAGCTTCTGCAACCCCTGCAGCCATAGCTCGATATTCAGCTTCAGTGGATGATCTAGAAACACGAGTCTGCTTTTTCGTGCACCAAGAGATGATATTAGGACCGAGTAGGAGTATGTAGCCCGTGGTAGACTTGCGATCATCTTTATCATTGGCCCAGTCAGAGTCAGAGTAGACAGATAGGTCGAATCCCCCCTTGCGAAAAAGAAGACCATGATTCAAAGTGCCTTTGAGATAGCGCAGAACGCGTT